GTCTATATAGATAGATAGATAGATATAGATATATCTATATGGCGTGTAAGATGCATGGAATTTAAAAACTTTTGATCTTTAATAAATAGAAAACAATTAATAATTGCAAATCTTGTTGTAACTTACTTTTCATTCAGGGACTCTGAAAAAAGTAAATCTGTGTCTATTAGATGGGGCTGACACACAGAATCATAGAGAATTAGGGCTGGAAAAGACCTCATGAGCCCAAACCCCTGCTCAAGGAAGAACCATCCCTGAAAACCATCCCAGCCCTGCTCTTGCAAACTAGCAGAGGTGCAGATGCTCATTGTTCTTAGTCCTGTCCCCTATACCCACAACGGAAATATGAAAAATGGGAAACTAGCCATGAAAATAATTTCTCAAAATATGTGCAATATTTTAGTGCAGCCTGATACCACTACAAGGTGCAACTTGGTGGATAGTTCCCCTGTTGCTAGACTGACAACAACATGGTGCAGCCCTGCATGGAGTTGCACCCTGCTGTTTTTAGAGTGCCAACGGGAGAGCTCATATAGAAACGCTCAGCTGGGCCTGAGTGCCAGACTGAAAAGAGCCATGGAGCTCCCCAGTACCTGGTAGGTTGACTGCCTTGCCCCAGTTTCCAGGGAGTTGCAGAGCAAGGTGCTTGAAATCCCAGCCATGGAGATCTGGGAATGGGTAGAGGTCTGATTCCAGGGTCCCCATGAACTAGGACCTTTAAAAACCATATGTGCAGCAGCACACGTGGTTTTCTGACATCCCCAGCATATGAGGACCCTGGGATCAACCGACTGTCAGTCCCAGTCCTCGGACTGCACTGGAGTCTCCAGCTGGCTCTGGTGCACTAAAATGGAAGGCAAATCCCATATCAAGAAAGACGGGAGTGCAGGGTTTCATACTGTCCAAGCCCCTCTTACCTCAAGGTGCAGAGAAGAGGGCAGAAATCACCCAGATGTTGAGTAGTAAGCTTGTACCTCTCTGGAGACTTTATTTTTTTAACATCTTCCTACATATTGTTTCCAGAGTAGGGTTAGAAGGAACTTCTACAGGTCGTCTAGTCCAACTCCTTATCTGAGGAAGGATCATCCCTATCCAAACCATTCTATACAAATCCATAATCTAACCTCTTAGTAAAACTACTGTCCACCCTGACACAAAACCCTAACCTGCCACAGGTAAAGCAGGGGAACCACAGCAGCCCATGTCCTGTTTCTATAAAATGTTGTCAATATATGTTCAAGAGGTCCTGGGTAGAAAGTCATGCCCCTTCCTCCCCTCCCCCCAGCCACACTTCTACAGAAGGCAGCAAAAAACACCACAGTCCATCCCAATCTGACCATGGGGTAAATTTCCTTCCTAAGCTCAAATAGGGTGATTGTTCTCTCTCAGGCTACAGAGTCCTGCCCCTCTGCTCAGGAACCTATGGCTTTGGTCCCAGCAAGAGTACTGGCATATCCCAGTCAAAGTCCCCAGCTAGCACCCAATGCTTGAGGGAGGTTTAAAACACCCCAACACGTGTAGCAGAAAAGGAGCAGAGCGGGCAACTAGCAAAGCCCAGAAGTATGGGAGATACCTATGGTAAAACATAGGCATAACTACACCTAAATCATCCCCAGCCAGTGGCTGTCCAACCTGTTCTTCAACACCTCCAGTAACGGAGAGGCCACAACTTCCCTAGGCAGTCCATTCCACCACCAACCATAAAGAAGTTTTTCTGGATATCCCATCTAAACTTTGCTACAACCTTCAGCCATTTGTCCATATCCTCCTCTGCAGCAAGATAGAATAGGTGTTTTTCCTCTTCTTTATGGCAGCCCTTCAGGTATTTGAAAACTGCTATCAGGGCCCTTTTAAGCGCCTTTTCTGCAAGCTGAACCTGACTAGATCCTTCGGCCTCTTCTCACATCTCATGACCTGCTTTCCAAGTCCTCTATTATCTTTGTTGCCTGCCTCTGGACCAGGGACAGGCAAACTCGGGCCCCGGGGCCAGATCCAATGCACTGTGGACTCCATTTACCAGCCACCCCTGCCCTCATGGCTTGGGTTGATCTCCATGGAGACCCCAGCTGCACCTGCACAGGAAAGCTCAGGTTGGGGGGTGCCTGGGAAACCAGCCTGAGTCACACTGGTGCATGCAGCAGAACATCACAAGGGCTGCTCTGGAGCTACTGGGAACTTGGGATGGAGGTGGCTTGCTCCGGAACCAGGTCTGAGCCATGATCTGTAACCTGCATGCACCAAGCAGGGGCGCACGTGCACGGGATTACAGCCCTGTCCCAGCTCCAGACCAGGCTGTCACTGCTGCAGAGCCATGATCCCCTGCTTGTGAGCCCCTGCCCAGAGTGTGCAGATTACAGATCGAGGCTCAGTCCTGGCTCCAGAGCAAGCTGCCTCCATCCCAACTTCCCAGCAGCACCAGAGCACCACCCTGCCCTCCCCCGTGCTGGTCTGCAGCAGCACAGTCCCCATGGCTGCTCTCCATGGCAAACCCAACCTAAGCTTTCCCAACTGGGGTCTCCATGGAGACTGGCCCAAGCCATGAGGGTAGGGGCTGCTGGGAAATGGATTCCAGTTGCTGGCCAGATCAGCCATTTTGCCCACCCGTGCTCTGGACACTTTCTAACTATATTCACTGCATTCCCTTCATCCACCTAAGTATCTCCTTTGTCAAAGAAGGAGATCAGGTTTGTTTTACACTATTTGTTTTTCATACATCCATGCTGGCAGCTTACAGTCAGCCCTTCCTCCTCCAGATTCTTTAACAATGGTCCTCCTTAGCATATGCTCAAGTAACTTCCCCTGGTATTCAGTAGGGCTGCGTGACGCTTCAGGTGCCAATTTGATTCAGAGGATATTCAGCCCAATTCAGCAGCTGAATCTTTAAACCCGAATCAAATCAGAAGACCAATAAAAAGGTCTGAATCAATTCAAAGCTCTCTGAATCAATTCAGAAAAGATTCAGAGAGCTTCAGAGAAATATGAGCACTCCCCACTCGCTGCCTCAGGGAGCTGCACCTGGACTCTGCCAGTAAGAAGGGGGGGGGGCTGGAGGAGAGGTGAGGGGATAATGGGGGAGACCCCTGCCAGGCTCCATCCCCTGCCTGCTCCCCCAGCTCCCCTAAGTGCCCCCCGGCCCCCTCCCGCTCTCCCAGCCCCAGAATCCCGGCTTTTTTTTTTTTTAAAAAAGCCACGCACTCACAAACTGCTGCAGCAGCTGCCGGGGCTTCTGGGGGGCTCACAGCAGACCCCCGTATGCAGTGTGGGGCAGTGAGGATCACCTCCGCCCCAGCCTGGCAGGAGCCAGTGGGTGCAGAGCTTTCCTTTCCAAAACTGTATTTCTAATGCCAAGAGTTGTATATTTTGTAGGATATCTGTTTATC